TGACCGATGCCAAAGGAAAATGGAAGGAAATCTTGCCCGAAGTCCTATGGGCATATCGTACAACCTCAAAATCTAGTACCGGGGCCACCCTATTCTCGTTGGTTTAAGGCGTTGAAGCTCTAATACCAATCAAAGTAGGAGAACTAAGTCTTAGGTTCCAATATGCGATCGAAGAGTCAAACGACGAGGCCATAAATATGAGCTTGGAACTGTTAGACGAAAGGCACGAGGCCGCTCCAAATCCGGTTGGCCGCCCAAAAGCAACATATCTAAAGGTATTACAATCGGAGAGCCAACCTTTGATACTCCAATATCGGGTACTTGGTACTAAGAAAGGTGACATTGAGTACCCAAAATCCAAACAAAGGAAAGCTGGGACCAAATTGGGAAGGTCCATATCGAATTATCAAGATCACCGGCAAAGGATCATAAAAACTTGAAGCGATGAAAGACGAACAACTACCAAACAACTGGAACGTAACTCACTTAAAACAATACTATTGCTGAGGTATGACCCCATTCATTTCTTTTCTTTACATATTGAACTAACATTTGCAGGTAATATTCAAGAAATGATGCAACTTTTAGGCTTGAAAGCACGCGTTGCACTCCTTTTATCTTGAACTAGTTTTATTCCAAATGGGTTTTCCGGCAAGGTTTTTAAGGAGGCAACATCGGATCGTGCTAACTATGTTTTGAAAAGTAAAAATTTGAGATTTGAGAGTCGAATTAGATCTACATTTAAAAATCAATCACATATTTTGACTCATAGGATTATGGGTAGTCAAGATCTACCCTTCGACAGGCAAGTCCGAGATTAACTTTTGTTGACTTTAGGAAAATGTATGAAAATCTTATTTTTATTAATTGACACAGGTTTCTATGCACTGCGTGTTTTTGCTTGGGTTGTTTACTTGAGTTTATGTTCCATGATAGATATTATGTTTAGGATTGTAATTCCTTAATTGGCCAAATTGGGCATCTTTGAGATTGTTGCTAATGTGAGTTAGTTGAATTCATGCTCATATGTTGAACACCCATCTACATTTCCTTTATTGGTTTGTCCTTATGCACTGCTTTGGCAAATTGTGAGTTTATGTATTGATGACACTTGTTGGTATGTTGTATTGTTATGATTATGGCATATGTGTACTTGTTGGGTGCATTATTCGGGTGTTTGCAGGAGGTTTCATCGTGCTATTATTATTATTATTATTGATATTGCACATGCGGCGAGATAAGACGGGTTATATCGAGTTTTCGCATGTGGCGAGATAAGGTTGGATGATTATTAAAATGTGTGTGGCGAGACAAGGCGGACATTTATTTTACTGTTATGCACGCGGTGAGATAAAGGTGGCTATATGGGGATAATACGTGATGGCCTAGGGGAGTTTACAGATGATGTTTGTGTGGTGGTAAAAAAGGATATTCTTGTGTATGCTTACGACTTCTTTGTGTGTGTCATGCATTTACACATAATTTGCTGTGTGATTTCTAATATGTCAAACTATATCTCTGCCATTACTTGATGTTTCGGTTGTCAAGATGGATTCACCTACGTGGAGTTATCCGTAATTTATTTGATTCTTGAAAGGTTTGCTTGAACGAGTTATTAGAAAATTGATACAGAATCTGATTATATAAGTGTGACTTATATTGTGGCACGATATCTTTGTCCTGCAAGTGTGACTTATATTGTGGCACGAGATCTTTGTCGTGCAAGTGTAACTAATATTGTGGCACGAGGTCTTTACCGTGCGAGGATGATTGGTAATGTGGAAACGAGGTGCCATATGCGTGCGATTTATTTGATGACTCATTGTTGATACTTACTGGGTACCGACTATGGCGTACTTATATTATGTTTCTGCACATTTTTTTGTGCAGATCCAGGTACCTCAGAGCGTGTCGGTCATTAGTGAGCTGATTTTGAGTTGCGGGGGAGACTTCAAGGTATACATGTGTCACCTCCTATTATTTCCTTTCTACAATTTATAGTACTTCAAACAATTCTATATTTTGAGACTCATTATGCACCTCTTATAGAGCTTATGGCTCAGTATTATAGGGTTTGGGATTGTGATTGTTGTATTATCATATTGGCTATGTTTTGGGCCACTTTCTCAGTTTGAAAATTAAGTTGTTATATTCTTTTTGGTATTGTTATGTGATAATCTTACCTAGTCTTAGGGATTAAGTGCCATCACGATCCTTAAGGTGGGATTTTGGGTCGTGACATTGAGCCACATGAGGAATTGGTTAAGTTTGTGTTCCTCATCCTCCTTTTGAAGACCAGCCTTAGCAGCACATGTGCAATGATTGATACACATAAACCTAACCTCATCCTATATTTTTTAAGTTTATTGAAGTATGAGGTTATGTCTAGAGACCCCCGATGAGTCGAAGCCAACTCATGTTTAAGTTCAAAGACCTTAATTTTGCTAATTGTACCATATCTCTTATTGTGTTCTCAACTTAAGGAATATAGAGATTCTTTAATTAGTCAATCTTGGTGCCATTTTTACTGAATCCGAATTCCCTAAGGAGGCCTGGTCAATCAGATGATTTTGTCTGAAAGAAAGTAGTCAACCAGCTTCTTCACTCAAGCATCACTCAAATGAAAGAATAAGCAAGAGGAGGGAGTTGTCCATAGGATGGTCAACGAAGTATATCGATCCTACCCGGCGTCTTCTCTTTTTAGTGGGTAATGAGCTCTATAGTCCAGGTGCACTTCTTCATAGAATTTCCACTATCTCTTGGCGTATCACCAGTATTTCCTTGTGATTCATCAATTGTATCTCTGAGGCCTATCACCTTCACTCTCTGCTATATCAGGTGATAAAGAGTTGTTCAACCAGGATATGATCATATTCTACATCGATCCCATTGTTTAAGCTTGGGAGAGACCTCTACAAGTCTAGGGCAACTCCCATCGATGAAAGATATTTTGTTTCTAGTAGATAATGATACTATCATATTGCAATTCCAACCCCCAAACCTAATCCCAGACAAGTGACACACCGAGAACATCAAAAGAAAGCGAGAACAAAGGACTAAATGGTTTGGGGGGGGGTAACTATAGAAGATGAGGGGACAACAGAATTACCCATACCGATCAAGCAAAAATAGCCAAATAGAATAATATCATAGTATGAATCATATGACAACTAAGAACATCCACGCATGCAGTAATCGAGAAGAACTTACCAAGTCCCTCGCAGCTGAAGGAAAACAACAGCTTCAGACTCATTAAATCAGAATTCCAAATGAAAAGTTCCCAAATCGAGATGTGTAGAAACCCTCAATCGCAACCAAAAAAAAAGAAGAAGAGAATACTCCAAGAAAATTGAAGCAAAGATTAAAGACAACCAACAAGGTACAAAATTCTCCAAAGCCCTAAGTATTCAGCCCGAAATTGAACAACTCGTTGGAAACCACGAACTTTCGACAAAATCCAGCAAATTGTCAACTGGAAAAGATGCGGCTAGCACCACACAAAAGAAATTGATTAGAATTAGCGGATCTCCCGCTTTGATACCATGTTATAACTCAAATTGAACCTCAATCTCAAAGAGCATTAACTAGGGTTCTAATGAACAAAGAGAAAGCTGAAATGTTGTTTCTGTATTTTGAAAGAAAAAATCTCATTACTTCATATTCTAGAAGTTGTTACAAGTCGTTTAATATAATGGGCCTAATAAATAATTTAATCTATTACATAAGAGGGCTTTTGAAGTCATAACAGTAAAAGAAAAGATTTTTATTTCTTATCGAAGAAGCACAGATACATTCATTATCTGTCATTTCTGTTGACTACCCAACAAGTTTCTTGTGTCCATTACGCTTGAGGCTTTATGCATGTGCTTTTGCCAAAAACCATGCGGATTTCCTGTGTATTTTTGTTTATTCTATACAGCATTTTTTTTGGTTTCCTAAAAGAACGAAGCCGCATATGTCCAACCACATTCTGTTTGTGTATAAATAAAGCTCTTTTTGTTTGTTTTGTTTCTTTTTCTTCGACAGATTTTGAACCATTTATCGACTTTATAACGACTTCTCTTTTCCAATGAGAAAACGTCACTTCTCACTCCTTCAAATACAACTTTGCAAATGATAATGTAAAGCAATATTCAAACATATTATTTCCTTTTTACCCCTTCCCCCTCTTGTTACATAATCCTTCTTCAATGCAGGCTCAGAGGCTCTAACTCATATGACNCCCCCCCTCCCCTCCTCTTGGTTACATAATCCTTCTTCAATGCATGCAGGCTCTAACTCATATGACAATTCATGTATACCAGGCTTTAAGACTTATCTTAAAAGTACCACTTCTTGTTACAGTATCTGATTGACATTGTGATATTACTTGTGCATTTCTGCTAAGTTTCTAATTTATAGAGATGGCCGTTGCCGCATGTAATATTATCCAAATTTCTTTCGGAATGAAGAATTTCGTGATAAAGATTGTTTTATCTCCTTAGCGGTTGTTTGGTTGGAAACAAGTTATCACAGGATTAGTTATTCCATCCTCCCATAGAGATTAAAAAACACTACAATCTCGAGATAACTGACTCCATAATTAGTTATACATTAATTTTATGTCAATCAAACATGAAATAAACTCATCCCGAATTTAATCCCGAGATTAATTATCCATTATCCCTTATACCAAATGCGCCCTCAATAGTTTACCTAGCGCAACACCGGATTAGTAGGACCAATAAGTTTCTGATACCAAATACCTTTAAAAAACAATATTGTGAGAAGATATGCTCTGGCTATGACTGAGACGAAATGCTTGCGTCAGAGGCTGTACAACCTTTCAAAATTGAGTAGGTAAAAGATAATGATATTACTCTATTTTACTCATCCCATAAGTCAGAAGATATGTGTTCATGTTTAAGCCATCCCACATCTCCATCACTTAAACATAATTCCCAATTTTAAAACATCCAGTATACCTCACCACATCCCACCTCCACCCACCCCCAACCCCTTTCCCTACAAATAAAGAGATGCACATGAAAAATCCATGAAGATACCAAGAAGACAGATAAACCAAAACAATCCACTTACCAAAAATATAAAAACATTCAGACGCAACCAAACCAATGTCAAACTACCCTTTATAATTACATAGCCTTGTACACACAAAACAAAAGCAGATGCAGATGTATTCTTGGATTCTCATGAAGTTTCAATCAAGTATGCTATTCATAGCAATCCTTTCATTTGGATTATTTAGAGTTAAAGCTCAGGTCCCTCCATCTGAAGATGAAGATGTAGTTAGCAGTTTCCAGCCAAGCCTTGCTGTGGTTATTGGTGTCCTCTCAATCATGTTTTCACTAACTTTTCTTCTTCTCCTCTATGCCAAGTTCTGTCATATGGCATCTTCTTCTGTTCGTAACAGCACCAATATTATGCATATTCAAGATGGACTTGTTCGATCAGTACTGTCATGTTCCTCAGGTATCGATAAAACTGTGGTGGAATCACTTCCTTTTTTCAGATTCTCTTTTATCAGAGGGTCCAAACAAGGGCTTGAATGTGTTGTTTGCTTATCAAAATTTGAAGATATTGAAATCCTTAGATTGCTGCCAAAGTGCAAACATGCTTTTCATATTGACTGTATTGATAAGTGGCTGGAAAAACATTCAACCTGTCCACTTTGCAGGCATAAGGTCAGTGCTCAAGACCTGTCATTACTTACTTATTCGGACAGTTTGAGATTCTTGTGGAACCAACCTGAGCTAAGAGAGGAATCAAATTTGGAACTATATATTCAAAGAGGGGAAAATGGATCCTCAAGATTTAGTATTGGAAGCAGCTTTAAGAAGGAAGAAGAATTGCCAATACAAGAAAACAATATTGATAATCAACAAACAGATTATCAAAATCAGAAAGCACTACACAGGTTCAATCATAGGATTATAGTCTCAGATGTTGTCTTCAAGAATCGATGGAGTACTGTGACTTCTTCCGACCTTATATTCTTGAATTCAGAAATGCTCAATAGCATGGCAAGCAACAGATTCTCATCAATGGACAGAATCAGTGAGCAATCCACGGCGAAAAGAGTGATAGAAGAAGATCAAAGAGTGAATATCAAGGATGAAATGGAAAGGAAAAGATTGTTTGAGAGCAAAATCCAGCAAAATGATTTATCTCAATTTCCAGAAGCCTCAGAATCAAGAACCAATTCATCAAAATCACTAAGTCAAAATGAGAAAAAATGCATGTCAGAAATTATAGTGCATCCAAGATTCATAGATTTCAACAACAAGAACATTGGTAATAGAAAGCTTTTGGTTCCACAAAACAATGTGAATGAGGAAAGGAGGAGGAAGCTTTGGCTTCCAATTGCAAGGAGAACAGTCAAGTGGTTTGCTAATAGGGAAAGAAGGCCCGAAAACAGAAGACAAACACTAAATGTATAGACTTTTCATAAGTAAGACAATCTTTTTTTCTTCTTTTCTTCAAGCCATGGAAACAACCTCTCGAAACAGTCTCTTGCAGAAATGTAGGGTAAGGCTGCGTACGATAGACCCTTGTGGTCCGGCCCTTCCCCGAACCCCGCGCATAGCGGAAGCTTAATGCACCGAGCTGCCCTTTTTTAAGCAAGATTTTCAGTGATAAGCAAGTTGAGAGATTATATATTGTAAAAATGAAAGGCTGTACTGATTCAATTTCCAAAGAAAAATCAAGCATTTAGTAATTTTAATTGCATAAACGGCTGTTAGGATGATGGGAACGATTGAGAGTCCTCTAGTCCGGTCCATTCCTTGTACCTTAGTATTCAAATATTGTTCTTATCTAGTTAATAAATCTTTTCACGATTCTTGGTCGTTCTTTTTAGTGGGGGAATAGTAGTACATGGGTTTAGAGGGAATCATTCCTCTATTGATGTAAAAAGAAAAGCTAGAATCTTTGGGTTAGCTCTTCAATTTGCTACCCAGACCCAAACTTTACCCCCTTGACTCGTCCCAAACCCGGCCCAGTTCTGCCCTTACCCGACCCAATCCCCTCACTCAACCCAAACGACCACGTTTTAAGTTAAATTAGATCTGAGCCGTCGAGGTTCCATGATCCGACGGTCGCGTAGGGGGGTGGGGTGGGTATATAACCGTCCTAATCTCACTACCCACCCAAACCCTGTCTTTTATCTCTTTCATCTCCCTTTCAGAGAACCCCTACGAAACCCTAACCCGCCGCCCCTTTTCTACACCACTTAGAAGCCTGGCGGCGCAGCCCTAACCATCTCCGTTCACCACCAAAACAACACCCCATGACCCACTCACTACCCTCTTTCTAAATCTCGGACCAGTTTCTCTCGAACATGCCCCGAGCTCGTCGAATCTTAAGTTGAAAGTGAGACCTAACTATGTCAAACTCCAGAATCGGCAGATTTGGTGTTGATTAAGACCAAAACGGACTTTGGTCATGTGTTTTCATCTGAGAACACGTGATTGAAGCCCTTTTCGGTCAAAATCGAGGGTTTGAGGAAGAGCTGTAAGGCTTGACCAGTCCGTTAGGTATCTTTACATTTTTGTTGGCTCTTCTCTTGTATTTTTCTGTTTTAAAGCCATCCTGCTTCATCTCATTTTTGTGTTTGTGTTTTTGCTTCTTCATAGCATGTTTGTTGTTATTCATGCATGACCAATTTGTTAGTCAACATAATTATCTGGTTGTTTGTTTAGAATTAGGTGAATCATTCTCTTTTTCTCTTTTAGGTTTTGGGCTTTGGTATAAAAGTTCTCGTGTTTCTTTCTCTTGGTTAATTTTAGGTCAGATTTTTTTTAGAATGTTGAGTCTTTGACTGATTTCAATTGATACCTAAAAAATTAACTCCAAAAGGAACTGAATTGTGTTTATTTGGACCCATTAACTTGGGTCAATTGGACCCAGGATCTATTAGGTTAGAAGGGTAATAACAGGGTCATATGGGGGGTAATTTGGGTAGTCTGCTTAGGGAAATCTTTGTCTAACTAACTAGGAAGCTTCCTAGAAGCTGGGGTGGGGACTTAATAGGAAAATTTGATAGTTGAAGAGGGATATCTAAGCTATATTAAAAATTAAAAGAGGGGCAGAATGCAAAAATTAAAGTCGTAGGGGTTGCCCTAATGCCTTGCCTATAAAGGCATCCTTTCTTGGCATTTAGGGTAGAGATTGGAGAGGAAAAATTTCAGAAAATCAAAACGGCTGAAAGAGAAAGTTCAAAAAAATTCATTGTTCCATTGGCTTTCTGATTTGATTCTTGAAGTGGTTTTTCCTTTTTCTGAAGTTATCTCTGGTTTACATGGTATTAAAGATGGTTTAATTTGGGTTTGAAAAGTTGGTTTCAAACTGAGCATGTGTTTGAGACCCTATTTCAATTCAATTTTGATTTTGGGGTCTGCTGTGCATCAACACTGATTTTGCTGAGTTCTTTTGACATTATTCCATTGCTGGAGTTCAAGCTATTTTTGCTACTGACCATTCACTGATCCTCTCTGCTTTCTTTTCATTCCCAGGTACATTTTCCTGAACTCTACCCAATGTAAGGTCAAATTCGAAGACTGAAATGAAAACAAAGTTGAAATAATGATAATAGTCTCGTTTGTAATATTTTTACATAGCTGATTGTCTCAGATACTAGATTTATCATGTATGCTAGTTGGATTCTATCCTGAACAGATGAAATCTTTGAGTAGTACTTAGTTTGGGACTGATGAAATGTCGTGAAAGAGACTTATTTACATTAATATGTCTCAAATGTGTTTTAATTTTGGTCAAAATCAGTAGATGTGCTTGGTAATATATGCATGTTTGAATTGTTGTTAACAAGGGTACAAGGGAGCAAGTTTAATGTTTGATATGTTGTTAGAAGTTTCTGTGGGGTGTGGGAGCATAATGTTTTTGTTGGAAGGAAGGTTGATCAAATCTGCTTGTGGCCTTTGTTGCTTTTGATTCTGCGTATAATGTATTTTGGGAATGACCTTTAGATCTTGCAAGAGTTTATGTTTGGGTCTCTCTTTTGGCAAATGGCAAGTTATTGGTATGCTTATGCAAAACATGCTCTGTTAGCATTTTATTTCAAGTCCTTTGAAGATTTAAAAGTTGGAGTTGCCTTCTATTTAGTTGCTAATACTATTTTTTTGCTTTATTGCTTTCAAAATCAATTCTTTTGTCAAAATTTCGTGTAAATGTCCATAAGATCAGTGATTAAGCCCAAACTCGTTTGTGTGTCATGTTATACCACTACAGGGATTCGATCCTGAGTCCGCGTTTCCCAGTTGCAACACGTTTTTTGAATTGGGCCTTGTATTGAGGCTTGGCTTAAATTGTTTTAAAATCAATGGTTTGCTAGCATGTGACATTTCAGTAAGATATTGGGCTCAGATGTCAAAAGGGAATGTGCATTAGTTCACTTATTCCATTTTCTTAAGTCGAACTTTAACACAAAAACCTCTTTCGAATTCCTTGAGGCTTTTTCTTTAATTAACTTTGACTCTCTTAAAAGTAGATTGGAGGTCTGCCATATTAGACAATAAAAATAGTTTATGGCCCTCCAAAGCTTAGTTTGAATTCCCTTATTTTAAAAATTTGGGGTGTACCGTATTAAGCCAAATGTACAATTTATGGCTCTCAAAGTTTAGTTTCAAATTTCCTTTAAATTGTATTGAGGTGCGCCGTGCCATATAAAACCTCAAAAATGCATGGCCCTCGCTTAATATTTAGCTTGAACCCTTAGAAATCTAGGTGTTCCATTAGTGAATTTTCCATGGCCCTCGTAAAACTTGAAAGTGCATAATTGCTTTAGGCGCGATACTTAAAATTAGCTTCCTAAACTTGGGTGCGCATTTATGTGACCCAAATTCAAATCTCAACAATGATAGATAAAATATGTTGAGGACCGCGGGTGCATTTATGTGACGTGGTTCAAGATGTATTTTAATTGACATTGCAATCTTCCTTAAAAATGATTAAATAAAGCGGTTATAAAGTTAAAATTGAACCATAGGCTAAAACATGTATTAAAATCAAGTATATAGGCCAAATATAACAGTTGAGCGACCGTGCTAGAACCACGAAATTTGGGAATGCCTAACACCTTCTCCCGGGTTAACAGAATTCCTTACCCGGATTTATGTGTTCGCAGACTGTAATACAGAGTCAATCTTTCCTCGATTTGGGATTTGAAACCGGTGATATGGGACACCATAAATCATCCCAAGTGGCGACTCTGAATTTTAAATTAAATAATCCCGTTTCGATTGTCACTTAAAATTGGAAAAAACTCCCTTATACACCCCTCCTCTCGGGGGTGTAGGTGAAAAGGGAGGTGTGACAAGCACGTAGTCATCATATCCCATATCTACCCTTCCCATCCCCTTAGTGGTCATTTAAAGCTAGTGTTTGGTCTGCGTTCTCTATTGCGTGCTATTACCCATCCCTTCTTAATGGTCTTGGAGGGATATAGGACCTCTACCTATAAGTGGTTCTAGACAGACCCTAAGGTTTTAAAGGTGACGATACTAAGGCGACAGACAAGAACAATTAGGAATCTTAGCAAATAAGAACAAAAGAGAGCAATTAGAGGCTCAAAGTTTCCTCCTCAAACAAGGCACATGAACAACACGACTCAAACACAAATAAGTACCTTTTGTTTAAACAGTATCCTAAGGCATGATATCTAAGTGAACATACAGAAACCAGGCAATTTATTTTATAAACTTGGAGGTAATGACCCTATCAGTGGCCTACTGATTTTAAAGCTTGTTTGAACAACATTAAGTCACAGAAACAGTTTCAGAATCACAAGTTTTGAAAACGCCCTATAGGCTTGCCTATACGCGGAACATTGATGACTACATTTTATATAGTGAAACAAGGCAGGTTTTGAATCGGACTCTTTAATCCCTATAGGCATGCTGTCTAATAATAGATTAAGGCAGTTTTAAAGAATTCATTTTAAGGAAATGCATACTTAGAAGTGAACTAAAATGCGGATTGGGTTGATTTATTTAAACTAGTTTAGATCTATAGATAGAATTCTGGTGTTGTCCCTATAGATATGATATCTAATTGTTTAACACTGATTTTAGAAGCTTGCAGGCATGAACACATGTAAACACTTGTTATAACAAAATTTGGATTGCATTATATCCTATAGGCATGGCATCTACTTGTGAAGTTGATTTTAAGACTTGTAAACACGATTTCTATTATGGCATCAATTAAGACCAATAGGCATGATTTCTAACATGACAAGATACAAAAGTCCTATAGGCATGATTTTTACTTATAAAGGCAAACACAACAAAATGTAAAGTCCTATAGGCATGGTTTCTACCAATAAAGGCAAACACATCAAATTGTAAAGTCCTATAGGCATGGTTTCTACCCTTATTACCCCACAAACATGTAGCTACCCACCCTTTTTACTAATTACCACAATATTTGTTTACAAGTTATTACAAACCATATGAAT